AGCTAACGTTGGTGCACAACCGGGAATGACAGAAATGTTAACCAATTGCCTTACGGTTACACATAGGCCAGCTCAGGTTTCGAATGATGCCCACGAAAGCAGTGCATGCTGCACCCGTTAAGAATGATCTCCACACAATATGCACTGGAGGGGTCCATACAACGGGTCACGCAACAGATGCGCCGAACGGAGAAGGCGGCACGGCATACGCACCCATAAGAAGTGCCGCACATGGGTGGAGAGGGTATGGCAACAAGTTTAGGCGCAAGCTTACGTCGCCTGACCCCACCTCCGGTCTCCTTGAGTCTGTTGTGACAACAGGCCCGTGTGGGTAAAGGCAGATAAAGTGCGGTAAATGTTGCACAACTTTACTATAGCAATGTACTAATTTACACTCGCCATCCCCCCCTGTTGTTGGTCAGACGGTGGACGTCGTCAGAATCGACGGTGAAACTGTTGGGGTCACATAGTCCACTGCGATGGCAAGTTAGGTGTGGGCTAATTTCCGAGAGCCTGGGTTGCGGACTTACACAGGAAACGAAGGTGTAAATTCTACTGGTAAGAATAGCGTACACTGTCCGACTTAGCATAAATATTTGGATAGCTTCACAAAATCAGATAGTCTCCTTCATTCAATAACTACAAGAATCGGCATAATGACTATCGCCCTAGGAGTAGGCGGTACCCAAGGAGAATAAGCACGTCGACAAAATGACAATCATACCGTATGTCACCTTAAACGGTACACGCCTACCCTGTCCTTTTATGGTAAATGTAGTCGTACCACGTCGGCAGAAATCGACTCGAATCACAGAAGGCAGACTAGCCACCTGAAAGAGTACGACAAACAAGACCGCAGGAAACCAAGGTAAGACGTACAACTGAAATAATAAGTAGCTTGTTCGGAATACTCTAGTAGGGTGTGAAAATGCGGACTTGACACTTCCTATCAAAATGCCTTCCAATTCTCGACCTGCTCCACTCTGGCAATTGTTTGAAGGATGGCTCAAATTTTGAAAGATAAATGGCGAACAGACGAATTCTAATAGACTACAGGCGTGCAGATGTCAATGAAGGACCGAATACCTGTGAAGGCCGAAGTAGGTGATTCACAGCATTTAGAATTAGCCTACCATACAAAATCGGCTAGGGGTTCCAAACGCAGTGATTTCGTGGAACTGATTACACCGGAAACAGAAGGCGCGAATAACGCAGACGAACTATCTTGTCGAACCTAGTAATGAATCGCACAGCGACAAAGACAGACTAACCAAAGCAAATATTAGGAAGGTCTTGAGGAGTACTGAGTCATTCAGCCTATATATAGAGAGAGCAAACAGTTGCTCTCATAATACATAAATTTTCGAATTTAACTCGCGGAAAATGTCCCAAAGGCATAAAGAGATGGCCGGTACTAACAAAAAGGACCGCAAGACGAACCTTGCGCCTACATCTAACGCGTAGCCCCATAGCACAATAATTTTGGCATGTGCAAAGACATTTGACAAAAATAGCGCGAAGTGAGGCCCCTGACTAGCCTCAAACGCGGCAAAGATAACTGTATGTGACCACTGTAGACGTTGTGGCGATTTCATTTACGGCAACTCCATCTAGACGTTTCTGAATTGATTGCGAACGGCGAATTGACTCAAATCATTAGAGATTCTTTTTATGATAAATTTATCTGAAGTGACACAGGGTAAACAGAATGCTAGCACAAAGCCATCAACTGTGGCAACCAAGTACGGTGGTCTACATGAATGGGATGACCTCATGCTAGTTTGTGAAATGTCGTCTACCAGATCAAATTGACGGAAAATGTCATTGAAGGTTTCAACATATACAACCGAAAAGGATCTTCAGCAAAATTAATCAATTTTTACCGCCTTAGCACCAAAGCTTTCGAAAACGGACATGGACGCCAGGATGTACCTCATGAATACACATCTCGATTAGCCCAACAATGCCACCGTTTGCGAGGATTTTTTTGGAGTCGTAGCCGGCGACTGCCCCAGATTTACGAATGACCAGAAAGGACAAGTGGTGGAAAAGTTCGTAAAAAATTTACTCGACGATATGACGACTCAGATATTTTGATATTCCAAACATCAAAAAGCGTTTTTGTCCAAAGAGCCGTTGCCACTGCTCGTTGCAGACAACATACCGGCGATTTTTTGGGTCCTAAAATGTTTAAAGTGAAGAGTATATGCTCACGAATAAGTCTTTCGCCTTGGCTTCATCCCAGAATCGTTTAACTAGCTCTGCTCGTGAAAGCTTTGGCGTTCCTAGATACTCCGCCAATTCATCCGAGAGGGTCAAAGGTTTAGTAAAGCCACTTTTTGATCCTTCGGCCCTCGGCGCACGCGGCGTCGATTTAGCTACTACAAAATGACGCAAAGCAAAAATTACCCTTGGACTTTCGACTGCGCATCCCGTTTTCCTTTGCATGAAGATTTCTAGCATACTTTTCATCAGTTGAAACCTTTCGCTTCTTTGTTGCAGAAATGCCACCGGGTTCCTCATTATAGCTTGATTCAGAATTAGAATCGTCTACAGGAAGGTCAGATTATGTGAACCGAACCCGAGTCTTGAGGTGAAGGTAACTGCTTTGCAGCCGACTCCTTGGGGCTATTTGGGAGCTCTTCGAGAGTTTTCATGATCATTTTCTCGATTGATGCTTTTTTATCGTTTAAATCTA